AGGAATTGTTTAAGAACTTCACAAAGCACCCTGCTTGGGATTTTTCTGAGCTTCTCAGATCTATTTGCGGTCTTTAATTAATTTTGGAATATTCTTGGCCTTTATCTCTTCCCTTTTTTTGCCCCATCTTTCTCTTTTCCCACTAGGACTTCAGTTAAAGGTATGCTCTGTCGTTTAATATTGTCCTGTAGATCTTGGGGGCCCTGTTTCATTCTATGTTTCATGCTTCGTCTGCTTGGGTTTCAACTGGAGTAATCTCTAATCCTTTGTTTCCAAGTGCATTGACTCTCTCCTGTGCTCTGTCCAGTTTGCTAATGAGCCCGCGATTTCTTGCGTTTCTGTTTGGTTCTGTTCTAGTTTGGGTGGTGTCAGTGAAGGTGGAGGAGGGGCCTCTGAAGACCCTCTCTTCCATAAGAGCAATGAAAACGGACAGAGCCTCTTTTTTCAGAACTGAAAGTTAACCGAAGACTTGTGGCCATCCAGGGGCATTTGTTCAGGAAAAACGGGTGAATCTCAGTAAGGAGAGTGAGGTTTGTGGCATTTCAAATTGTCCTTATTCCCATCCTCCTTTTCCCAAGCTAAGCAGTAACCTTGAAAGCCAGCAGACACAATCTTGGTAAAACCCGGCAGCCTGGCAACCAGTGCACAGGGCGAAAAAGGATTGGAGTCCTTCAAAGCCCCGTTCCCAGAGGTCGGGGAGGACCCCACTTGCAAGGCTGACTTCATTTCACGCGACTCAGGGATGCCCTGGGGTCGTTTGCCGTAAACCATCAGAGGCCATTGTTGAACGGGTGGAGGACAGTTGGGTGCAAACAGTGGGGTAACCCAAACGCTAGGCAAGCAGAGCTACAGAAGAGAGGAATATGGGAGGCTTTGAAAGGCTCCGACGTTTTGCTGGGAAGCTGGAGGCCACATTCTGGCTAGGGCTGTGCACGGGGTGATCTCAGGACACCCACACTGAGACACGTCGCAGCCAGACTGTCAGAGGCCACAGTCAAAGAGAGAATCTTGAAGCCAGCAGGAGAAGCCACTCCTCACATGCAAGCGACTCTCTGTGAGACTAGAGGCTGGCGTCTCCTCAGGAGTAATGTAGGAAGTCCCCACGACTTCCCATGCGGTGCCCACCCTTTCCTGCTAGAGTCTCCGCTGTGTTAACCCTGGTGACTTTGAAGTCCCTCTGGGCTAACTCCGGGCCATTGTCGCATCTGGCTCTATTGAGTATGTCCTCTCTATGGTACATCTTTATTTCTTGTGTGTGTGTGTGTGTGTGTGTGTGTGTGTGTGTGTGTGTGTGTGTGTGTTTAAATGTTTGATTGAATGCTGAACCTTTTGGGTAAACAAAACAGAACAGTGGGCACTGCAGTATATATTTGTGCCAGGGGAGGGTTTTCCTTTGTTCTGTGAGACCCTTAGTGTGGGGACTGGGTCCCTTGTGAGTGGCATACAGTTGGATTTCCTTTTTCTTTCTCTTACCCAAAGTGATAATCTTTTTCCTTTAAGGCTGAGGTTACTTGGTTCGTGGTCTATATTCATTATCTGTTGCTAAATAACAAGTTACGCATCTAGTGGTCTAAAGCAGTAACCATGTATGACCTCACGGTGTCCGCGGACACCTCACGCTGGACACCTCACGGGTCCTTGGGGCTGGGACTGGGCTTGGCTGGGCCTCTGCCCCTGGCTTCTCATGGCTGCGGTCCCGTCCCAAGGCCCTCGGGCCATTGGGCTGAGCCCCCTCAGCTCCGTGCCACAGGGGCATCTCCGGAGGGCAGCCCACGACACCAGGGAAGCTGGCTCCATGGGTGTGGACAAGCAGGTGGGCGCCAGACTGAAAGCATGACCTTTACCCCTGGAACTGCCCCCTCTCGCTCCAGTCATAGCTGCTCATCGGGATTTGGGTGTCACTCCAGGGCCCAAGCTCGGGGCCGTGGGATCCCGGGGGACCATCTCAAAAGCTGTGATCCCTGATTACTTATACTGATTCCTGCAACCTTGCCTGGTCTTTTCTGTTGCGGCCCCGCCTCCCCTCATTCTCCTCCGGCCCCGCCTCCTCCGCTCGGACCTCCCCTTCCTCCCCCTGCCGTCCCTGTGCGTCCCCGTCCCCCGAGCAGCCACAAGGCAGTTGGACTCCGGCCCGTGCTCTGCCCTCGGGTTTTCTGGCTCCTCTGTTGCTGTGCGTCCTTGTCCCTGTTGCAGGACCAAATCTCTCTACTGCGTCCCCATTTCCTCATTTCCCCCTAACTGCCCTCAGCTTGGGGCTTGTCTCATCCATTTGATTCCTTGTTCCTTGAGGAAATTTACATTTATAATATTTACCTACTTGGGGGCTTGCCTGTTTCAGGTTCATGTCTTCTTTTTTAATCAGAAGTTCATTTATCTCTTTGAGCACCTTAAACTTACATGTTTAAAATCCTTTATCAATTGGAAATTTGAATTTCCTGGCTGAATATTTGATGGCGTTAAGGAATTCACTTTTTTGGTATGCAGTGCTACCGGTTCTGATTAGGAAAATAAAAGTCTCTATCTTTTAGAGAAATATATTGAAATACGTGCAGGTGAAATGACCTGCTGTAAGGAATCTGGGGGGAGGGAGGGGTGGGCGCTGTAGGTGAAACAGGATTCCCGTTAATCATTTTTTAATATTTCCCTTTTTTTAAAGTTAATTAACTTTATTTTTGGCTACATCGGGTCTTAGTTGCAGTCTTGCAGGATCTTCGTTGTGGCATGTGGGATCTTTCACTGTGGTGCGTGGGCTTCTCTCTCTAGTTGTGGTGCACAGGGCTCAGTAGTTGCAGCGTGCAGGCTTAGTTGCCCTGTGGCACGTGGGATCTTAGTTTCCCCAACCAGGGACCGAACCCATGTCCCCTGCATTAGAAGGTGGATTCTTAACTGCCGGACCACCAGGGAAGTCCCTAGTTTATCATTTTGAAGCTTAGTGATGGCTACCTGGTTTTTTTAAAATTTTATTATAAATTTATATTTATTTCATATGATTTAATATATATTTTAATATTATAATATCCGGGTTTATTTAGTATTATTTTAGTACAGTAATACAATTTTGCATAATAAAAAGTTTTAAGAAACCGTGTCATAACGTCCCATCATGTGAATTTTGTCAGGAGTGAATTCACACCAGCTGCTGGTTTGATGGGCAGCCTTTCTAAGCGTACACTTCCTCGCCGTATTTGGGGCTTGGTTTGCAGGCTTGTTTTGAGCACAGATTTTGGCTTTGGTCTTGTTGGCTTTGTTTCTCTCCTATTTCCTTGTCTCCCTGCCGAGCATTTTCGTGGCAGCCTACAGCTGCCCCAAGTGCCAGCCAGTCCCCACGCCACCCAGCTGTGGCCTGGGGTTCACGGCGCTGGAGCTGTGGCCTCTGGGCTGAACCCAGCTTCCGGCAGATTGAGAACCACGGTCCGACATGCGGTCCTCAGGATTTTCAGGTTGGCTTCTTATTCTGGGGGAGCCCTGGGCTCTGGGGGCGAAGCTGGCCCCACGCCCACCTCTGCCCAAGGCTCTGGCTTTGGCCTCACCTGCCTCTGTGCCCGTCTGTTCTATTGGACGTTTGCATCTTGTTAACAAATTCGGCCGTGTCTCCGTGGTTTTATCTGCCTTGTGTTTGGAGCAGGGCAGGTGCATCGAGCGTGCCCATCTGACAGTTCCCTTCACTTCCCCCTTCAAAGACTGTGCCCCGAGAGCGGGCATGCATAATGGTGACATTTTACCTTTGTGTTGGAGACAGTGTGCTTCATGCAGTGTTTTTCCCCAGAAGGCCGACTGGGAAATGTCTTAGGGAGAACCACGGTCGCTACCCTGCAAGCTGTCCGTCTGTGGTTCCCCAGCCCGTGTCCATCTGCAATTGTTCTGTTTTTCTGTCTCTTCTGCTGGGATCTAAGCTCCATGAGGACAGGAGCTCCCCCTCACCCCCCAGTGCCCCAGCCCCCTTACAGGCGTGTGTGTCACGTGGCAACACCCGCTAACGTCTGCCTGTGACCTGAGGGCCACCTGCCTGCTGTGCGCCAGGCAAGGGCCGGACGGTGGCCGCTCTGCAGAGTGGGCACCTCCGTCCGCCAAACCTGCGTCGTCGGCACAGCCTCTGGTCCAGGCGCCAACACCGGGCGTTTGCATTGCACGCACTTTCTACAGCCCCTGCGCCAGGCCAGCCCTCGTTTTTCTCGGGCAGAGGCAGGCCAGGGGCCCTGACTCAGGGAGGTCCCAAGGGCTCCGGGGACATGGGCCTCCCTGTCAGGAGGACGTGAATTCCCGCTTTGTCTGATGTAGCATCATTGTGTGTGGGCCTAACGTGACCCTGGCCTTGCCGTTGGGGTTTCCTTTGACCCTCGTAGGGGGAGTCATTCCGGGTTTATGTGTCACACATGCGTGAGCTGGCGCTTGGGGTCGGGGACTTGTTGAAGGACCCCCGGCTGGTTGAGGGTGGGGAGGGGGCTGGCCCGGGTAGCCTGCCGTGACCTTGTGGGGGTCCTCGGCCGTGTGCGCCAGCGTTCTGTTTGCTCCCGTCAGGAGGCCGAGGGGCAGCTGTCCCGCGAGGCCTAGGATTCTGGGTTCCAAGGCTGCTCACCTTTCAGCTCCCTGGCCCTTGGAGACAGCTGGTTTGCTCAGCAGAAGGAGGACATCTGGGCGTGCCTGCTGCTCAGAGCCCAGGGAGTGAGTCGGCGGCATACGTGCTATGGGGACGGCCCAGTGCTTCTGGCCTGCGTGCCTTGAGGCTGCACAGCTTCCGTCCAGGCCCTTCTCTGCCCAGGCTCGACCCCAGCTCCGCTCGTGGCTTTGAGCTCCGGGGCCGTCACCTAAGCCGCCCTGTTTCTGCGTTGTGATGGGGTCCTAGTCATCCTGCCTGCCTTTGGAGGCCGTGGGGCGCGTGTGCACACGCTTGCCCTGGTCAGTGCTGCAGGGGCCCCCCTTAACGGCGGTAGCGACGTGGCACTGCGTGGGCTTCCATTCGTAGGTCGCCAGCGGCTAACTGGACTCTGCTCTCCTTGCAGGCCGGGGAGCTGGAGAGCCGAGAGGCAGAGCTGAGACGCCGTGACGCCTTATACAAGGAGCAGCTTGGGCGCCTGGAGAGGCAGGTGAGCGGTCTGGCGGGCGGGCGGCCGGCCGGCCGGGCCCCGAGCTCCGGGCGGGCTCAGGAAACTGACCCCGTGCGCTAGGAAGGGGTAGTGATAGTGTGACCGTCGCAGTACAAATACACGAGCGCCGTTACTGCTTTTATCCTGGGGGTCAGGGATCAGAGGGCCCGTCTCAACTTTTCTGAAGATGAGCCTTTGAAACCAACGAGTTTCAGAGGCACATCATCTGCCCTTTTTCAAATCTGCAACCACGAAAATTCATTCGGTAACTTTGTAACTTGCTTCCTGTTTGGGGGGCTTAGTTTGTTGATCATGAAGGAGTTTTCAAAGAGGCCCTGAAAACGTGGGAGGCGATGGTTGGCAGGTTAACACATGGCTCTCCCTATGCCTGAAACCGTGGCCAAGCCCCCGAGTGCCTGCTGTCCCCGTGGGTCCTGGAGTCCTTTGTCTCGGTTTGGAGCTTTGAGGTTGGCGGTGTCTTGCGGGCTTGATGGCAGGCACGTGTGCTGGAGCCTGTCCGTGGGGACAGAAGGGGGTCACCCGTTGGTGTCTGGGGGGCGCCAGGCGTGTGAGGCGTGCAGCACGGAGGGTGACTCTCCTCTGGTTCTCCGCCTTACAGCCCGTGCTCTGCTTCTTTCTCACCGTCTTCCTGCTCGTCCTAGGTCAGGTCCAGACTCCTTACATAGGCAGATGGGCCCCTACCTTTAAGTGAGGTTTGCCTACGTGGTTGTGAGCAATTACTGAAAGCTTCCAGAAGAGGTGTGCAGATGCTTAAACACTAGCATTTTGCAGAACAGGAGCTGGGTCCCTGGAGGGAGGTGGGGTGGAGGGGGAGAGAGGCTGGGCCGGCCTAGTGGGCCTTCTCCGGGGACAGATCTGTTCCTGTACTTGCTGGGGCCACGGAGAATCTTCTCCGGCTGCCGCTGCTGTTGTATTTTTATATAAATTCTGCCTCCGTTTTTGAATGCTCAGACTTTGACATTTTCAGCTTCTGCACCTTCCAATCATCAAGCTCCTTTTTTCTTTCTTTTTTTTTTTTTTTTTTTTGGTTTCCTTTTACGCTTGGAAATTGATGGTGGAAAGCTGTTCGGGGCAGACTTGGAACCGCGGCTGGATCATCCTCGACCCCTCAGCAGCTGGGAGCCAGTCGGGGTGGCGAAGGTCGGGGTGGGAGGCGCAGAGGCCCGTTGCCCGGAGGACGCCGTCTGGACCCGGCCGTGTGATCGGCGTTGACGGGCAGGAGAGCCCGCGGAGTCCAGACCAGTGTTCAGGGGCGGGGACTTTGTGACCTTCTGTGCCCGTGACGGTTATTCCTGAGTGAGGGGAGCATTTTTGGTTGGGCGCCCGAGCCTCGTGATCTTTCTGAGCAGTTGTTCCCGGTGCCCAGGTCACCAGGCTGGAGCGAGGAGGGTTTTCCTTTTCCCGCGGAGAGAGGTGAGCTGCTGCGCTCGCAGCGGCCTCGCCGGGGTCTCGGCCCAGGAAGCAAAGCTGGCGTGCTGTCCGTTCAGGCGGCAGGCAGAGGGCGGCGTGCACTGACGGTGGGTGGCTGGACACCAGCTCCGCCGTCCTCTCCGTGTTCTCTCCCCTGCAGGCTGCCGGCTGCAGGCTGCAGGCTGCGCTCCAGCAGCAGCGGGTGTGTCTGACTGTCTCACCTCCAGGCCTCGCTGGGCCCAGGGCCAGGCGGGTGGGGCGGGCATCTCTGGGGCCCAGCAGAGCTCAGCCCTGGTTCCGCCTCAGCAGCACAGCAGCCTGGGACCTGGAGCCAGTTGTCTAAATTCCGGAGCCTCCGTTTCCTCGTCTTTGAAACGGAAATTTCAAACCCGAGCTGCCAGCTGTCTGGGGGGCGCGTGGTTGTTTGCGTAAAGCAGCCCCCGGAGCGCCTGGAGGACCCACCCATTCATCCCGCGTTAGTTTGGCTCCGTTCAGCGCCGGGCAGTGGTGCTTCCTGCCACACGGAGCCCACAGTCCAGGGTGGGAGGGGAGGGGATGCTGAGGGCTAGGGCCCCAGACGAGGGACGCCTGAGACCGTCCTGTGACCCGTGGGCCTGCCAGCTCCATCAGTATGGTCTTACTTTTCCAGAGTCAGCAGCTGCAAGTGGAGAGGGCGCTTTTGGGGTGTAGTTTCAAAGAGTGAGGCAGGAAGAAAGGGAGGACCTTGGAAACGTGTGTTCCTCCTGGATTTCGGGCTCTCTCCCCAAGAGGTGCACCCAGTCCCCACCCTCCCAGCCTCTGCCTGTGAGCAGTTAGCGCTTCTCCTGGTTTCCGTTTTTTCTGCCTGGGCTTTGCTTTTCCTAAGGAGCGGCCGCCGTGGGAAGGATGGGTACCGAGGACGGTGGTTCAGCCTGTGCTCCCAGGGGGCCGCCTGGCCAGGCCGCCTTGGGAAGCTGTCACCCAGGGACCCTGGAGCTGAGCAGAGCTGTGCCCTGAGGCCCGGCCTTCCTTAGCAAGAATGGGCTGCTTACACCTGGGCTCGTGGGACCACCGCCTCCGATAAGGTGAGGCAGGAGGACCCTTGATCCAATCCGATTCTTTTCACATGCAGGAAAGCGGCCCTAAGGCAGCTCAGTGGTTTGAGAGTCGACTGGTACAGCGGTGAGTGCTGTGCTCTTAGACCTAGAAGGACCTGGGCCGTGTCCCTGGCACGTAAGACAGAAGTGGGGAAGTGGGTCAGCCTGACTTGTGTTCCATCTGTGGCCACCCTGGTTGCCGGCACTTCTGCTTCTAAGGACTCAGAGGATAGAATCCCGTCGGGGGTGTGACTGGTCACCAACCTTAGGTTTCCCCTAATGCACCTTTTCTCCCTTTGCTAGACTGGTCACCAACCTTAGGTTTCCCCAAATGCACCTTTTCTCCCTTTGCTAAAGTGGACATGGTCTTGTCTGGTATCTTCCCATTTTCTCTGAATTCTGAGTTGCCAGAGCAACAAGAGTCTCCGTCAGGGGGTTCAGAGCTAGCGAGACTCGCCTGGGTGGGGACGTGAATTCATCTAGCATGCCGACGCTGTCTGCAGCCGACCCCAGGTGTCCGTGTTGGGTTCACTCCTTTCCGTCTCCTGGGTGGAGGCTGGGAGTTCAGGGGCTCTTTCTCTCCGCCCTCCGCTGACTGTACACGTTCTCAGCAGCGCGGGCCTGCCCTTCTGGTCCCCGTCTCTCCTAATGAAATTTTAGAGCCCTGGCTTTGTGCTCGGCATTTTCCAGCAGCCCAGCCTGCCGGGGTCTCAGCCCTCCTGGCCCTACTCCCCGGCCCTGGCCATCCGTCCCACGGCCCCTGTGCCCTGTCGGGAGCACAGGGCAGAGGTCACCTTTGTGCCCTTCCCGGGAGATCACCTGCACAGGTGCACTGGGCTGAGGCCGGCTCTCCATCCCGGGTCTCATATCAGGATCGGTTGTGATTGTATTTCTCGGAAGAGTGTTTTTTTTTTTTTTTTTTTTTTTTTCTCTTTTTTTAGTTTTTTGAGGAACCTCCATACTGTTTTCCACAGTGGCTGCACTAATTTACATTGCCACCGACAGTGTATGAGGGTTCCCTTTTCTAATAATCACTTATTTAAATGGAGATTTGTGTTTTTTTTGTTTTTTTTTTTTCCTTGCGTTATGCGGGCCTCTCACTGTTGTGGCCTCTCCCATTTGCGGAGCACAGGCTCCGGACGCGCAGGCTCAGCGGCCATGGCTCACGGGCCCAGCCGCTCCGCGGCATGTGGGATCTTCCCGAAACGGGGCACGAACCCGCGTCTCCTGCATCGGCAGGCGGACTCTCAAGCACTGCGCCACCAGGGAAGCCCTCGGAAGAGTGTTTTTAAAGACCTTACCGCTTAAGCTGTCCTCCTGCCGTGGAGGTGTCTGGTGTCCTGGCCGGCCGCTGCAGTCGGTCCCCAGCTGCTGGCACTGCTCCCACCCTGGCTTTTCAGTGCCCACGCACAGCTGCTACCTGTGCCCGGGGGGCAAGCACCTCCCAAGGCTTTGTCTGCCTCCTGCAGGCTCCGTGTGTGGACGTGGCCCTTCCTGCTGCGTCTCAGGGACCACATGCAGCTTGCACGCGGCCCCACGGCCTCCTAAGTGGTGGACGTGGGACGTACGTCTGGGGCTGGCTGACTTCAGAATCCTAGTCCGGGTGCCCTGTTCACGCTGGGATTTATCTTTTTAATGGGCAGGCAGATGGGCTCCAGAAAGGAAATGGCCACGTCGCCCTGCCTGTTCTGCATCCAGACTGCGTCCTCCTAGACAGTCTGATGCCATGTCCTGCACTTGGCGGTGACTGTCCAAGGAGCTGTCCCCTCAAGGCAGCCCGTGGCGCTAAGTGCCCAGGTTGGTGTTACACCTGCTATAGTAGAGGGTCTGCCTGCACGTCATCCTTCCCTCAGGGTCAGTGATGGTGGTCACAGTGCAGTGGAGCTGGGGGGAGCCTTAGGAAGGAGCGCGGTCACTGAGTCAGGAGGAAGCGGCCGCAGAGCTGAGTGGCAGGGACGGTGCAGTGGCCGAGCGCATAGGATGGCCAGGCACGCGAGGCGTTGGCGGGTGTGAGGGCCATGCGAGGCCACCGCGGCGGCTCTGTATGCAGGGTTTAAGTCTCCACATGGACCGTCTTCCTGTGAGCTCGCCCCCAAGCTGGGAAAGCCAAGGTCTTCTGGGCTCCTTGCTCTCCCTGTCTGTGTGTTTCCTACCCTCCATCCATCCCCACGCTTCCCCTCCTCTGCATCCGCGGCTCCGTCATCTGTCACCCCCGCGAGGGCACCGTCCCTGACGGTCTCCAGGCCTCAGTGGCCGTCCCTCTGTCCCGTCCAGATTTCTCGTTGCCGTGTCTGCACTGTGCTTCCTCACCCGGCCCTGAACGTCACCTGGTCGGGCCCTGCACGCCCTTCAGACTCCACTCCACCATCTGCTGGCCCAGCTCAGCGTCCCCAGCCTCTGATGGGGGTCGGCCTCTTGCCCCAGCTTGAGCTCCAGGTCGGGAAGTGATTCTTACACGTACAGCAGCAAACCTGCAAATCCAGAGCGGAGAAA